GTGCGCGGGCGCGGGCGCCTGGCAGCGCAAGCTTTTTGTGGGGAAGTGTGCCCCCCTGGATACGCCACTGGTCCCGTGTGCATTTATGGCCCATGTGCATGAGCAAAGAATGCAGTACACACTTCAGCTAAGAGTAGGGGATTGTCTGCCGGTGTAGGCCCTACTGGCCAAACACCACCTGAAGGACCCCAATGGAAATAAGTCTTCTTCTAGACTTTCGTGGGCTATCCTTGGTGTTTAGGCCTACACCGAATAAATCCTACCAATGGTGGTCTAAAAGAAAGCACAACAGTGGTCATACTAAGCCATACAAAATCTACCAGGGGTTATTATTCCGAAATCCTGACCGGGCGGCCCCTCTCGGACATGTCGATCCCCTTGTTGGAAAGGCAAATTTCTGGCAACCACCTACCTCTGATACTCACGTCACGGTTATGTCATAAAATTGCTGTTATTGTTAGGGTGATTCACTACTGCTGTTGTCAGCACTATAGGCCTACGAATATGAATTACTAAACATACACGGGAAGTGATACCGTGATCATGACAGGAGGTGGCGCTGGCGCTGGTAAAAATGCAAAAATATTATGTTTAATCTAGAATGTATAAATATAAAGTGCCTGTACACACAGTACAAAGAGTCACAGTTGTTTGTTTTGCTTAGTGGTGATAAAACTTCATGTAAGCATAGATAGATAGATAGATAACTTTATTTGTCCTCGTACAGTAAAATATACAGGAAATTCATCTTCCATTGGCAAATATTCATTACATTACAATATAAAAACTACATAATAAAAAAATGAAATATTTTAAATTTTAAAAAATACAATGATTAAATTACAAAACAGCAAATTTGATGAATAATTAGTATAAAAAATATGTGATTAATTAATGTTGAATATAAAAGTATAAAAATTACAAATATATAAATTGTGATTATTATTATTACCGTACTACAAAATTTAAGATCCTTAGGTGAATTAATAATATCTGATACCCTTTTATAATTTACACTAATCTTCTCCCAAAAAATACCTTACTACACCTTCATTGTGTAGATGAATTGCATTTATAACGAACGAGTATCTAATTCTATTACGTTTGGCACTGAGGTCTCTGAGTCTAAATCCAGATCTCATATAACAGAAATAATTTCTAAGTGGATGAGAATGATCTTTTAAAATTGTATATAATTTATTTTTAAATCTCTTCACATAAATTTCCTCTATTGTGTCCAATTCTAATCCAATACTTTTCTGTGCAATTTTCCTGATTCTTTCCATTTTCTTTTTATTTTTAATTCCAAAATTTCCAAAAGTACAGACAATTCCAAAAGTAAGAACACTTTGTATAACTGATTGATAAAAAAGCTTAAGTATGGCTTTGTCAACATTGAGGGATTTTAATTTCCTTAAGAAATAAATCTTTAACTTGCTTTCTTAACAAGATTACTGCAATGAGAACTCCATTTGAGAGAGTCGTTGAGTGTTACGCCAAGATATTTGTATTCGTTTACTCGTTCAATAACATTATCATTTATTTCAACTGTGCCATGATCAAGATGTTGAGCTGAAAATCAAATATCATTTCCTTTGTTTTATCAATGTTTAGGATGAGATAATTACCATGGCACTATGTTACAAATTTACTAATCTCATCTTTATACACAACTGAATCATTCTTTAAATAGCCACAAATAACCATATTGTCTGCATATTTAATAATCCTAATGTTTGGAGAGGTACAAGTACAATCACCAGTAAAAAGAGTGAACAGAAGGGGCGACAGGACACACCCTTGTGGTGTCCCAGTGTTAATAGACCGTAACTTTGACAGAGTATGGCCAACTTTAACCTGTTGTTGCCTGTTACTTAAATACTATATTAAACATTCTCAGACAATTTAGACCAACAAGGAACATCAAAATTTAGCACAAAAGTTGCGGACTTAATAAGCAAAAAAAATGCCAATGGTGAACGCTACTAAGCAGCGCCCATCAATGTAACTAATACTTTATTGTTATTGCTTAAATAACCAAGCACTGCAAACGTGTGTCGATTACCAGTTTTGTCTGATTTATATACAGTTCATCACTGCGATTCTATGCAATTTACGTATAATATTAATATAGGCTATATACGTATATATAAATATATATATATATATATATATATATATATATATATAAGTATATATATATAGACCTATATATAGATATATAATCAGTCATTGCCTGATTAAGATCTGTTGGTAACGGATTGAAACGTCACAAACAGTACGTATATTTTATGGTAGTATTTCAGCTACGTAATTTGTTGAGTGGTAGATAAGGTAATCTGACAAAGAAAGAAAAAAACTCAGCCTCCACTTGGGCTCGAACCCGGGACTTTTTGCATACATGGCGAACTCATAAAGACTTGACCACGAAGGCATTGTGGTTATTCAAGCGCCAGGTTGAATCTTAAATAAATACGGTACACACACACACACACACACACACATATATCTGTCT